GATAGAAGTGGCCTTCCCCAGGCCGGGCCTGGTCACGGCCTGCCCTTGGTCCCCCCCAGCTCGGGCCCAGAGCGCTAGGCCACAGTCCACGGCGGGTCGGCGGGCAGCCTCCTCCCTGGGCCGGGGGCACGGCACGGACGCAGCGGTTTCCAGGCCACCCCAACCCGCCCCAGCCCGCCACTGTGCCGCCGTGGTGTCTTCCTCCAGCCTCTGGAACTGTGGAGGGTCCGGGTGGTGCGGACCGTTGTCAGGAGAAGCGCGGACTCGGGCTTTGGCGTGGCCTTTGCCTCGGCTTTTGCCGCGGGAGTTCTTCCGACCCTTACTGCGGCCGCTCATGATGGCGGCAGACAAGGCTTCAAAGCCACGCTCCGACTCCGCCCCCCTGCGGCGCCAACTTCCGGTCTCTACCGAGAGGGCCTCTCCATGGCAACCGTGAATTTTACTTCCTGTGGTTGTCCTTTCTCTTATGATTCTGGGACAGCTGCATCTGGCAGGGCCTCAAGCTGCTTCTACTCATGGCGGAAAGTGGCAGGCAGCCGGCGGGTACAAGCAGATCACATGGTGAGAGGAAGCAAGAGAGAGGAAGCAAGCCATTGGGATTATTTTAACTCAGTTTCAATCCCAGAAGAAGGGAGGTTTGTCGTGAGTGATTTGGGTCAGAAATACGGGTAGCAAGAGGTTCAAATCGCAATCCTCAGTCTTTGGAGTCCAGGGAACCTTTGAGATTTGCTGACTAATAGCCTGCCAAGCACTACTAGAAGCTCCAGGCTTTAGCAATTGACCACAGGACCCACATCTCCCTGGAGCCACTGGATTGTCTAAGCAGGAGTCTCTTCAGGGCACTAGGTCTACAACAGTACATCTATTCCCCTAGAAACGCCCTACAGGGAATTGAGTTTACTACTTGCAGTTGTAATGATGTAATTGCATGCTACTCATTGATAATGTGCAAAAACAATTATGATAGAGTATAAACAAACAGCTGGTGAGCAGCTGCCTTGCAAAATGCTAAAGGCAAACTTCAAAAGATTTTTTTAATGGGTTTTAAAAACCTGACACTTTAAAACCTGATGCGGTAATCCCAAACGTGCAGCAGAGCATATGTGACAGCTTGGAAGCAACAGTGACACATTCTGTAAAGTAGCACATTGTCAGAACCCTTCACAAGGGAAAACCTGAAGGCAAATACGAGCCAGAAAGTGGAACTGCCATTCACCGGCAGGCCTTTCTTCCCATCAATAATCCAGACTTTTCATGCTTAAAAAACTCCTCTGTCCCCATAATACATTTTCACACAGCATGTGAATTTCAAGTTGCTTTTCCCAAAGTATTTTTTTCACCCACCTAGCAAGAGCCTCTACCCAGGTAAAGCCTCTGTCTTGTTTGGGGGCTAACGTGCAGGGCATGTGTAGTCCCAAGACCACCAACCCACACTGCACAACGACCTAGTGCTGTATTTCTAACAACCTGAAGCTTCTAGACCTGAGTCTGAAAAATAATAAAAAGTGAATTTGAAAATTACCAAACTATCACTATTGTTGCAATATAAACATATGTAAACAATTAATATAGGCCCCAAAATAATAATGATTATAAGTACAACAAACATTGTTTTGTTCATCACCTGTTTTTTCTGAGAATTGGTAAATTCCTCAAGCCCTGGCAAGGAAAGAGTCTTGGAACCAACCAGGTTTGTCACCCAAACCCTACTGCATGGGATAGCTTTTCTGCCGTCTTCTGTGAGTTCCAGCTGAGATGAAACAGGCTCTGAGCGTTTTCTTTCTGTCTTTTTTGGGGGGGAGGGGAGCAGCTGGCCAGTACAGGGATCTGAACCCTTGACCTTGCTGTTGTAACACCACACTCTGACCAACTGAGCCACCTAGCCATCCCAGGTCTGAGTATTTTCTTAGTTCTTATCCGCAGAACATGGATTGGCTTAATTCTCTGTGGTTGCTTCTTTCTTTTCTCAAATTGAGATATAATCTACATACCATAAAATTCACCGTTTTAAAATATATAATTCAGTGGCTTTTAGTATTTTCACAAGGTTGTGCAGCTATCACCACTAATTTCAGAACATTTTCATCACCTCAAAAAGAAATCCCATGCACGTTAGGAGTCATTCCCATTCCCTTCTTCCCCAAGCCTCTGGACACCACTAATCTAATTTCTGTTTCTATAGATTTTCTTATTCTGGACATTTGATTTAAATGGAATCATACCATATGTGGTCTTTTGTGGCTTCTTTCATTTAGCATAATGTTTTCAAGTTTTGTCCATGCTGCTGCATGAATCAGGACTTCATTCCTTTGTATGGCTGAATAATATTCCACTGTATAGATACATCATATTTTGTTTATCCATTCATCAATTGATGGAGATTTGGGTTGTTTCCACTTTTTGGCCATTATGAATAATGCTGCTGTGAACTTTCATGTACAGGTCTTTGTGCAGATGTATGTTTTCAGTTCTCTTGGGTATACACCTAGGAGTGAAACTGCTAGGTCATATGGTGACTCTCTAACATTTTGAGGAACTTCCAGATCAGCTGCATCATTTCACATGTGGTTGCGAGCTGCCATGGTAGTGGTGGGGCTTTTTCTCAGCTTCCACATTTTGTGTTCCTCATTATCCCACCTGAGCCTCAGGTCCCTCTTGTAACACACTTGCAGGTATGTTCTTGTTTTTTACTCCTACTTGTCCCCAGTCAAAGAGAAGTAACCTGCCACCAAGCAAAGAGAAAGGAAAGAGCAAAAATGCAGCAAAGCCAGCTGCACACCAAGCACTTGTGTGTACACCCCACAACTTACATTTTATTATGATAAGACTTGAAGTAGATGTCATTGTCTTCGCCTTGTCCATGAGGAAACTGCAAGGTCTGTGCTAGTTTTATTGCTCTAAGCTGCTTCCCAGGCCTCCAAAAAAGTGGTTCTAAACTATGCATCATAGAACCTGATGGTGCTTTAGGGGTTTAGCAAAAAACAGCATTTTCTTCCAAACAATGAATCTTTAAGATTCCTTAAAACTCCACTCCTCATTTTTATCTGTTTTGGAGTTCTATGAAAACCTTATCAGTCTTATTAACTGCTTGTTTGCCCAGGGCTTAGAACAATGCATGGCATATGGTAATTGTTAAATAAGTATTTATAAACAATGAATCTTTAAGATTCCTTAAAACTCCACTCCTCATTTTTATCTGTTTTGGAGTTCTGTGAAAACCTTATCAGTCTTATTAACTGCTTGTTTGCCCAGGGCTTAGAACAATGCATGGCATATGGTAATTGTTAAATAAGTATTTATCTAATGAGTGAATTTTTCTGCTAAAAATTTGGCAACTCATTGTGCTAAGGCATTGCGTCCCAAACCTGACTGCAAGTCAAAAATTGCCAAAAGAGTATTTTTAAAAATAAAGTCCACTGGGCCCTGCTGAATCAAACTTTCCAGGGTGGGAGCTGAAATCACTGTTGTTAAATCAGCATCCGGTGATGCTGATGGAGCTTTCTGCAGACCCTAGTTTGGGTTCCACTGTTCTGAGAGGTGCTGGCTTTGTCTGGCCACAGGACCAATGGCATCTGTGATTATCTTCCTAGGCCTAGGAGATCTCACCCTGGCCCAGAGCCACAGGTCAGCAACTGCACAGTCAGGAGTCTTTTTCTGAATCCACTGTCATCACAGTGCACAGCTGGCTTCTCCCCAATCACTAGAACTGTTGATGTGACTGATGATTCTCCATTTCTGAAGAGCACCATGTGTCAGTCTTTCCCTAGACCTCTACTCTATACCTGCTTATTATTTATTTATCGAAACATAATCGATTGTACATATCTGTGGGATACAGCACTGAATGCCAATACCTGTGTGTAATATGTGATGTTCACATCAGGATAATTAGTATATTCAACATTACACGATGTAATTATTTTTCGTGGCCTGTTACCAACTTCTTGCTAACCCTCCTCCCCCTTTCTCATGTCTGGTGGCCTGAGTTCTGTTCTCTCCTTTGAAAATTCAACAAATTATTGCAATTGCTGTATTTTTCTTTCTTTTTGTTCCTGCTTTGTTGTTATTAACTCACAGTGATTAAAGCCATGACAGTTTGAATATCAGAAGTTCTCCATGGCTGGAGAAAAGAACCTCACCACTTTTTACATTCTATAACTCCCCCATCCCCACTCCCCAAGGACTGGAGGGATACACACATGCCATGCAAGCAAGTACGGGGTTCCCTTTCCCCCTACCTATAGAAAGGAACAGTAGTTCCCACAGGCTCAGTTCTTCTTTCAAAGTCAAGGATAGTGTAGGAAGTTGTAGTGTCTTTCCCCATTGATGGTGGACTTAAAGAGAAAAAAGAACTCCTGATTCACTTTGACTTGTTTGCTCAAGTCTCACTTCCCCTTTTCCCACAGGAGGAAGAACTTTATCAGACTAGCAAATTTAAAGAATCTCTAGAGATATTCAATCATTTATCTGTAGTTGGAGTAGATCCACAGGGTAATGAAGACCAGGCCATGGCAGTGAAGCTGCCCCTTAGGCAGAGTAGGGCTAGTGGAGTGAGGATGGGAGTAGGGGGTCAGTGGAGGGGAGGGAAGGGGGAAGAAGGGAGGTGGGTGAGTCTGGATGACCACTAGGCAGAGCCCACTCAACAAAGCACAGTGTCCATGAGGGAGCAGCAATCTGCAATCCCAGCGCAGGCAAACCATTGGCACCAAGGACTTGAGAAGTCTGAAGATGGCCTCGCAGGTATGCAAAGTATAGCACAATAGAATTTTTAGCACTTTTCCTCTCTGTTTGAGGCCCTCCAGCCAGCAGCAGCAGCATCACTGAGCATTGACTGGTAAGACACGCAGAATCCCAGGTCCCACCATCCACCTTAACAAGACCTTGGCATGATTTGAATGCCCATTACAGTGCTCTAAGCCATCTGGAACAAGCACAACTCAATATTAAAACACAGTAGAAAAAAATAAAAATAAATAAATAAAACACGGTAGACAGTTCAGCTGAGGCAGGAACTAGGCAACTCTCAAGTTTTAGTGCACTTAAGAATTGCCTAGAAAGATTCTGATTCCATAGAGTTTGGGTGAGGCACAGTAATCTTTATTTTTAGTAAGCACACAGGTGATTCTGATTCCAGGTTCCAACTGGTTTAATTCTGGAAAGATGACATGAGGTTCTCATGTGTCTGCAGAATAATATTTTAAATTCTTAACTGATTTTTCTCTTTTGCCCATTGTGTATTTCCAGTAGATAGGTCATTTTGTTCCCATTGCCATTCGGAAGGGATGTAAGAGGATTGAAAGCTAAAGAACAGAGAGACAGACAGACAGACTCCTTCC